TTGCCCTAATGTGCGCCATTGGGAGTTCTATACAAGATAGAGATAAAGATAGAGATATAGATAAAGAGGTATGTATGTATGTATGTATGTATGTATTTATGTATGTATGTATGTATGCATGTATGTATGTATGTATTCAGTGAGTGAGTGTGCTTGTATCAGGATTATTATGGATGTGGTAGAGTAATTGAATATTTATAGAGGCTTATTTTTATTTTTATTTATTTATTTATTTATTTTTTGTAGCATTTGCTGTCTTTTTATTAGTAGTTTTAATAGTAGTATATTGTTTTCTGAATATAGCATATCTATGACTTGCCCTTATGATTATTTACCTAAAGTTTATACGGTTTGCATATGAAAGTCATATATCGAGTGTAAGTTATGTTAACAATAAGGGGAAAAAATGATGGTTTATAAGAAATCCTGCTCTTGAAGTGAGGTTTTGTTCTGCAAACACATAGACTGGCCATGATACAGCAAATGCATTGACATTTTATACGTTCATGTGGCTCTTTGTCATGCTACTTGTGGTGTCATGTTTCCAAACCAGTCTGATTATATACCACAGGACTTAATTACACAGTAATGAAGTCATGGATTGGTGAGAGGGTAATGCCATACACTGATTTACGTCATTAATACATTTGTTATTATTATTATCATTATTATTGTTGTTGCTGTTGTTATTGTTGTTATTAGTATTATAGTTATTATAGTTATTATTGCTATTTTGATTATCATCATTGATGATGTTGTTTTTATTGTTGAGAAAGTTTATGAAAGTTAAAATGCTAATTTTGTTGTGTACTCTGTCATTTATAGTGGACTTATTGAGTTCTCTGTTTGTTGATATACCAGTTTGTGTAGACTCCTTTACTATGTACGTATATATCTATAAGTATATAATATAATAGGAATGGTAAATTGGGACATTCCAGTATTTTGACAGTCATATCTCTTTAGTATTTTGATTTTTTAAATTTATTTTATTGTTGGCAGGGACCTCAGTCTGTTTTTTTTGTTGTTTTTTTGGGGGGTTTGTTTCCTAAGCCTTAGAGCTAGATTCTTTAATGCATGTGAATGAATTAGAAGACTAACTGTACTAAATGACAATTTTTTTGGACTGTATGTTTTATAGGTTTTTATGGCAGTTTTTAGTGATGACCGATGATATTGTGCATTGTATCATGTGTATGTAGATCTTATTTTTTGTTACTAATAAGGGTGTGGCCTATAAGGAAAACTCAAAAAATTAATTGTTGTAACATCTCTGCTACATTAGCAAAGGAGTTCTTTAGTTCATAGTTTTACTCCCAATGTAGTAGGAATAAAGAATAGAATGAGTATGTGTATTGCAGAAATGTGAAAAGGTGATATGGCTATTCTACTACTGGGAAAGAATAAAATCAGAATAGTAGTATCAGCGCAGTAATGGCTTGTAGAAGACTGAGGGAAAATCCAATAGATGCTGAGTCCCGGGCTGGGACTAGCATGACCTTTCGTGGGCCTGGGAGGTTGTGGTATTATGATTACACGATTATGGCTTGGGTGTTTGTAATGCGTTTTCTTCTTGATTTGAAAAAATGTCCTTGGCAGATATATAAGGTGTTCATTGCATTAGAGCAACATCCAGTCTAAGGTGTTGCATAAAATGGCTTATTATATCATGTTCAAGTTTGGGTTTTGCTTTATGCCATTACAGGATGAAACGAGAATGTTTATGGGAGGGTTTGAGAGAGAAAAAAAATAACGTCGCATTAAGGTGATTTTTTTCTCTTTCTTATGTCAGTGACACTATCTGCCTCATAGTATCAGTACACAGTAAATGCAGCTTACAAATGAATAGATTGAGTAGAAGATTTCTTTGTGTGTGCTTAGTAATGATATTTAAAAAATGCAAAACTAAGAAAGGGCAGATATATTCCCTAAGTTTGGTTGTTATGGAATATACTGTATTATATTTACAAAAAATATTCATCTGAAATATATCATATGAGGTTATGATGTACTAAAATAAGAAGTAAAATAGCAGCTCTGCACCAACAGCTTAGGAAACATCCAAATTTCATTTTATATATATATAATTATTTATTTTTAGATTTATGCTTGCTTGATCCACTGTGATTGTGCAGATAGATGCCAGACACTGATAAGTTGCAAATATGCCACTGGATTGTTTATGATAATTTTTATGTATAAAAGTAAAGTATAGAGGTTATACTAATTCATAAACAATATATAAAAGTTGGAATCTGGTGTAAATAATTTACTGAAGTAATGAAAGTAGCCTTATGGAACTGAATGTCAAATATAATGGAAAAATGTGACAGCATATACAGTCTGACAGGTGCTGTGACCCTAACAGTGAAAGATTAATGATATAGTCATTAGACTAACTGAATTATTTGTATTCAAATTTTACCTGTATTCTGCTATATGACTATGGAACATACCTACAAGCAAAGGCGTAATGTTTGTCATATAGATGAGGATTTAATGCCAGTGGTAAGTCCTCAGTTTATTGCACTGCCATCGTTTTTCATTTTTGTATGTGTTGTTACTCTTAGTCATGTATAGAGTATTCAGCATTTAATTGTTTGCATGATTATGTAAGCAAATTTATGATCAGTTATTTAAATCAATTGAATTTGTTTATTTCTTGGAAAAAGGTCATTTCATGATAGTGAATTACTAAGAAAATACTAAAGGTCATCGTTTGATCAAGTAGGCCTAAGCTCTTTTCTCACCCCCTGAGCTAAGTTTTTATATATATTTTTATGTTTTGTGTAGAATGTTGTATCCAGTGATGTTAGTTTTATTTCCTTAATTAAAATCAAGGGTTGCAAACATGCAGTTTACATTCCCTGTGACTGATAGGCCTTTCTTCCCCTCAAGTGAGAGAAAAAAAGAAAAGAAAAGGAAGAAAGAAAACAGTAGGGGAGAACACAACAAATAACAAAAGCAGAATGCAGGAATATTATTTTTTTGGTGGCTATGCTGTGACTCTACTGCAGCAGGTTGTAGTGACTAATCAATGTTCTGCCTGGAACTCCTTGGCTCACAGTCCATGCTGCTAAAACGCTTTACGGATGTGGTCACAAGTTCAGATGGGGCGGTAGGATGGGTGGGGGGTGGATATTGGGTGTTGTTAAGGTCAATTAAGTTGCTGGTGTTGCTCCTGTGGTTGATTGGCTCGATAATGTTTTGTAGGTCAAATAGGTCTATGTGTTAATGAATTGCCAATGTCAGTAATTGGTTTTATGTGATTTTAATATTAACCTTTTTTTTTTCTCTCTTTCTCTTTTTCTTTTGAGGGACATTGATGCATTTGGGATAGTTTAATCACTTATTGAATTAAACTCTAAAAAAGGAATCAAATTATTTTTCAGAAAGTAAATACATAATAGTGATCTACATCAGGAACATCATAGAGAGAGAAATATTGCATTGTGCACTGTTAACCTATGTGACATTTGGCCTTCTGCTTCTATAAATGCTTCCGACATAATATGACTGTGATTGATGACTCCTAGAGGGGGTGCAGAGAAATGTGTAGACACTGTGGATGTATTTTTCATTACAGAAATGTACATAGACTTAGTATGTATGCAGGAAATATCTTTCAATAGATATTATTTTGTGCTATCTAAACTGTTAAGAAAAGCAAGAAACATCTTTCAATATTTTTTTTCCCCCAATGTAAGCTGATATGGAAAAGCATATGAATAAACAGAATCTCCTTGCATTTGTTCTAGATCAAAGCTGTTACTAAGTATAATGAAACGATGAAAATGAAAAAAAGAAAATCTCTCAATATATTGCAGTGAGAAGGCAAATAGGAATAAATGAAATAGAGAAGTAGGTAGAACAATGGCAGGAATGTACTGGTTATTGTTGTTATATTTTATTTCATCTTCATGGCAAATGATCATTTGTCTTGCTGAATTTTTGACAAATATTTTTTAAAATACTTGAAAAATTGAAAAGAAAATTCCTGTAATCAAATAGGTTTTGGCAATTACATAATGTACATCTCACAATCAAATCAGCGCCAGTTGTTTATTTGTATGAAATGCCTCACGAGGTACTATAAAGGCACTGTAAAGCCTGTGATGACAAGGCTGCAGTTAGTGCAATTAGTGGTTTGCAAATGGGGGGGGGGACAAGGTACCAGCTACACTTCAGAATACCATGTGAATGCCATATAAAGCATGAAGATTGACGCAGAGATCAGAATTCTAAAAAAAAAAAAAAAAAAAAAAAAAAAGTATATCTGATATCTCAAAACTATACCTCTGTCAACATTTTTATTTATATTTCTCCATAACTACTTGGGTGATTCTAATGGTTTTTGGATCATGTGAAAGCTGAATAAATTTGCAATTTTTTTCAACTAAGTGATTTTCATTTCAGGTGATAAAAGTCTTTATATTATATTTTATATTCGTTACAGGGAACATTAGAAGAAAAAAAAAACATCCAACTAAACTAAGAGAAAATTTCAAAATCTGTCTGTTGATTATTTAGGTATTGCTATATTGTAGATGTATTTTTTTTTTTTTTTTTTTTTTGACAAGTTCGGTCAATGGATAAGTACGAAATGTAAAATTTAGTTATTTTTCAACCATTTTTATTTTTTTATTTATTTTTATTTTTTATTACTTCATTAGTTTATTTTTTCCAAGTGATATGAAACTAGGTGGTGCAAATCTCAGTATATAATAGAAAATATAAAAAATCCAATCGTAATTGACAAACGTGACGACCCCCCTGAATTAGGTGAAAGATGGGTAGTAAAGGATATGTATGAGATCTCACTTTGGTGTCTTTGATACTACAGAGTCATAAGAATGGGTTTAGAATTTTAAATTTACTAATTCATTTGTGTGTTGAAGAGGAAGACCACTTCCAGACATTCATTAGACTTGAAACCTTTTCTTACCTCTTGTCTCATTCTTTCAAGGCACATGCAGCTAATACTCCCTTTGCCATTGCAGGAGGTTGCAATCAAGCTGGAGGCCATGAAGGCCCGGCATCCGCAGCTGCTGTACGAGAGCAAAGTTTACAAGATCCTTCAAGGAGGCGTGGGGATTCCACATATAAGGTAGGTGGCAAGGGACTGTATTTCCCCCTTCCCCACGTTTTTTTATCCTTGTTATTCTGACTCTTATTCTTTTGTTTTTCTTAATCTCTTCCTTGTTTTCATGATGGTTTATTTTTTGTCAGTGTTAAGGGTGAGAGGTCTGTTTTGTTTGTGTGAATTGTTGGTCTGCTTGAATACTACATGTCAAATTTTTGCATGGTTTGTAATCCATGGCCTTGGAACTTTGCTCGTAATTGTCGGGGAACAAGTTCAGTTTCTCTGTTAGAAAAGATGTGAATATTTGCATTCTTCATAAGGACCAGTTTCAGAGGTTCTAATGGGAAGAAAAATATCCATGGGACACAACTTTTAAGGCCCGAAGGCAGAATTTCTTTGTGTCCTTTAGCATGCAAGTCAGCTATTTTTACTTCAAATTATTAAAGCAGTTGACACTGTAGTTTGTATAAACAGATCCACATACTGTTGGTAAAGTATAATGTAAGAATAGTTAGTAAAAAGGAAAGAATTTTCCAACTATAGCCAAATGAGAGCATATTCTCATATTATTTTTCCAGTTATAGAGATCATGGGACGTCATAAAATGAATGAGAATATTGAAGATTTGAGGAATGATGAATGAAACTACATTCATAGATACTAATTTTACCATGTAATCAATTATTTGGATGAAATTTATTGAGTAAGAGTATTTAGATCAGAAATGGTAAATACATTACCCCTTATACAACTAGGAGATCATTCATATATAGATATAATCTATTCTGATCCTACTAAATTGTATTTTATCATTCTAAGCACTATATGATACAGAAGAACAGACATGTACTTAACCTTTTTTTAATGATGGAGGTTGTCAAGATACATTTAAATACCAGTCAATATATTTTTTGTTTTGCCTTGAAAAAAGTATACATATACATATTTTAGGAACACATTTTCTAAACCTGTTTTATGTACTCATGGTTGTATATTTTTTCTATATTTCAAAATGCCTTTAATCTTCATTGTACCTTTGATCTCTGCCTTTTATCTTTCAGTTGGGTAAAGAATAATAAAGTCAATATGAATATCCTTTTTTTTTTTTTGCAAAGATAATATAGCTTGTGCTTCCATATATTATAGACACAGGTAGTCAGTAAATGAAAGTGAATGAATGGGTGAGCAAGTTAATGAGTTGTAGAGTCTGAGAGTGGATGAAGAGAAACTTTCTCTCATAGAAAGTCTCCTGGCTGTAATCAGTGTGTGAAGAAAGTTTGTTGTATTTCACAAGACATATTTCTTCATAGTTCATTTTTTTTATATTTTTCATGGTTCAGTATACAATTTTTTTCATCTAGGATCTTCAATTATTGGTACATTCTTACTAAAGCTAAAAATTGCTAAATATGTTAGATTTTTGTACTGAAATGCACAGCCACACAAATGGGCTCTCAGCTGATGCTCTGGTGAAGATTTCTCACAAGGAGAGAGAGTATGCTGAAAATGCAGGCCCAGCTGAAGCAAAGAAAGCTGCTAGGAATGTTGTTTGGCCTGCTGACCCAGACGCCTTCACACTCTCACAGACAGTACTCCCAACCCTTTTAGCTTCCTGGTGTTTGTTGATGTTTGTTTGTTTGGTTTGAGAGGTTGGTTGGTTTGCTTGTTTGTTTGTTTTCCTGTTTATTGGTTTTTGCTTGTGTATGTGAGTGAGTGAGTGAGTGAGTGAGTGAGTGAGATGGAGAGGGTGAAAATAGGTCTTTTGCTTTTTATTACATGTATATAACAGTGCAGAAGTCTGATGTGAAAATAACATAAATTAAATAGTGCTCGAGATATAGTGGGTACACTAATGAATGACTTGGTTATGTGTTGTTGGTTCTTGATTAGCAGTTTGTGCAAGAGCTCTCTATTAGCATGAGACAAGGAAAAGTTTAGAGTTATCACTTGATGACATGATAGTTTGTTTGTTTCTTTTCCACAACTTTTTTTTTTTTTTTTTTGAATGAGGATGGAGGATGTTTGTATTTAAAAAGAGTAGTTTGTGTGTGAATTGTTAGGTGACTTAATGCACATTTTGAATTATTTCATTTTATACTGTTAACATCATTATCAATATGTATTGGATGATTTATTCCAAATCAGACGGGTTACTGATATGTGAGAGAGAAGAGTATAGTGATTTTTAGCCATCACAACAGTAATAGAAACAAGAAAGGTTTTGTTCACTATGCGTGAGAGGCATGGCTTCCCACTGTTATTTTTATTGCGGTGGGTCGGGCTGTGAATGCATCTCTTTAACCCCTCCCTCTCCCCTCCCCTGTTCACCTCCCCTCTGTTCACCTCCCCTCCTCCCTCCCTCCTCTGTTCACTTCCCCTCCTCCCTCCCTCTTCCTCTCTCCCTCCCCTCTCAAGGATGTGCTTTATGAATGCTCCTGTGAGTGTGTCATGGAGCATCATCAAAGCATAAGATGACTGAGCTGTGGTGTGTTGTTCCAACTATATATTTTTTTCTTTTTCTTTTTCTTTTTTTTTCCTTCTCTCTACTTTAGGGTGTTGGTGGGGTATGGGGAGGGAGAATTGGGGGAATGAGATAACGCCAGAGATAATGTGAAAGTGTGCAGGATGGGAGACTAAGTTAGTGCCTCTCTCTGCGTGAACCCGTTGGACATAATTGGTAATGTGTGTACGACGAGTGTGGGAGGGGGTGACCATGTTATCTGCTCTTGGCCTACTTTCGGGGCTAAACTTTCAGCCTGCTCCCGTGGTTTGCCTGCATCGTACGTAAATATTTTTTTTCCCCTACCATATATGCGATGATGGGTTTATAGCCAGGGGTCTCCGAGATTTCGTGGGTATTTGTTTGTTTGTTTGATAGGAGTAGTATTTTTTGAACCACTCTGATGGATTTATAGTGGCCTGGGGAATGGGTTGGTAGTTTTTTTTTTTCGTGTGTTCGTTTGTTTTATGTGGTTTGCTGATTGTGTGTGGTGAGTGAGTTCCCAGTTGGTGAAAGTGTTTTTTTTTTTTTTTTTTTTTTTTTTTTTTTTTTTCTCCCCTGCCATTTTAAAGATTTATGGGTGTTCAGATGTAGTTCTTCTTTATATGTTTATATATATTTGGAGCAAATAAAAAGTGAAAGGAATAAGTAATGGAGACCAATTTTTTTTTTCTTTTTTTTTTCCCCCAAAATTTTTGTGCTTTATTAGTAGGTTATCTATAACATGTAGCTGTATATCATTATTTAAATGTAACTGAAAGTTCCCAAGTCTGTATTTACTTTTACTATACCTTTTTTGGTAAATTGGTATCTTCATTGACAATTTTGCATCAAGTCCTAGTTATCAGATTTTAGTTGTTCTTTTAAAATGTAAAGGAATAAATGTGCACATGTGTGCACACACGCACACACACACAAATACACATACACATATACATAAAAAATTGGGATGGATTTTGAGAAAAGCTGTTATGGAAAGTTAGTGGTGTGGTTATTAAGTGAAGAGAAATAATTCCCTTCCCATTCTCTCCTCTCCTCTTCTCTCTTCTCTCCTCTTCTCTTTCCTCTCTTCTTCCCTTTCCTTTCCTTCCCTTCTTCCTCTCCCTCTCTCTCCTTTCCTTTTCTTCTCTTCTTTTCCTTCCTTCCCTTCCCCTTCCCTTCCTTCCTTCCTTCCCTTCCCTTCCCTTCCCTTCCTTCCCTTCCCTTCCCTTCCCTTCCCTTCCCTTCCCTTCCCTTCCCTTCCCTTCCCTCCCTTTCCTCCCTCTTTCCTCCTTCTCTCCTCCTTCCTCCGTCTCTTTCCTCTTTCCCCCTCCTTCTTGACCTCCCCTTCCTCTTTCCCCCTTTCTCCTCCCTCCCCTCCTTCTCCCTCCCCCCTTCTCCCTCCCACTCCTTCTCCCTCCCACCTTCTCCTCCCTCCCTCCCCTTCTCCTCCTCCCTCCCCCCTCCCCTTCTCCTCCTCCTTCCTTCCTTCTCTCTCTTCTTCTCAACACCCTCCTCACTGCTTCCCTCCTACGTGATGCAAAAGGGCCTGGGGAATTGTCCATAAGTGTTGGAGCCGGAGGATGGTGGGTGGGAGGGAGAGAGCGAGGGAGGGAGGGTGGGTGGGTGGGTGGGGAGTGTGGTAAGAGAAAGCAGTGAAAGTGGTGTGGTGTGGTGCCTGGGACCGCTGGCTGGGCTGGCAACAATGGGTAGTTTCTAACTTGGCAACAGTGTGTAGTTCTTGTTTGTGTGTTGTTTGTTTATTTGTTTTTGGTTTGTTGTTGCTGTGCTGGTGGTGGTAATGTTGTTATTATTTTTGTTGTTATTGTTGTGGTTAGTGTGGTTGTCATTGGTATTAGTATTGTTGTTATTTATAGTATTGTTATTACAATCGTATGTTATTGTTATTGTTATTTTTATCATTAATATTACTACTGCTGTATATTTTGATTATTGTTTGATATTAGTATTATTGTTATCATTGTTGTAACTACTACTACTATTATTTTTGTTGTTGTTGTTGATATTGATATTAATGATAATAATGATGATGATAATAATGATAATGATAATAATGATAATGATATTGATGATAATGAAAATAATGATGATGATAATAATAATGATAATAATAATAATAATAATAATAATAATAATAATAATAGTAATGATGATAATTATAATAATAATAATAATAATAATAACAACAATGATGATATTGATAAATATATTGTGCATTTGTTTTTTTGAATGCATAATCTACAGTAAATGCAGTGGTTATGTAGGTGTGGCTTTATGCACTATAGTGCAGTTTCTGAAAGTAGTGTGGATTTTCTCTACATATCTATTGTCTAAGTGACACACACGTACAATATGCATACACAGGCTCTCACTGACTGTTAAGACGGAGCTGTTAGGCTGAAATTTCTCAGTTAGTACGTACTTGCTTAAAGTGAAGAAGTCATAGTTGTTGTTTCACATATTGATCCCGGTACAGAGCTATAGGCAGCTGGCTCTCTGATTGCTGAATTCTCTGATTTAATTGGCTGGCCCAAGGAGTCAAAGGGATTCCAGAGTGATTGAAGGATATGTGGTAGAATAGAGAGGAGAAAGGGTTAGGTTTTAAAAAGATTAAGAAACCCCGTGCATCGTGTCTGTTTGCTGTTTTTTTTTTTTTTTTTGTTAATTTCAGTTGGATAGACTAAGGAGATAGGAAGAATTCATGATGAACAAATGATAGATATAACAATGAAGGGAAGAATAGGAAAAAGCTCGAATAAGTAGTATAGTGAAAAAGCTCAAGGGCGCTTTTTTGGTTTTTTTTTTTTTTTTTTTTTTCTCCTTTGTTTTGTGGTTTTCCTGTTATTTCCTTTGTTTTTTTTTGTTTCCTGTTCTTTCTTTGGTATTGTTTTGTTATGTTCTTCCCTTTTTTTGTTTTTTTTTGTTTTTCCTGTTCTTTCCTTTTTGTGTTTTTTGTTTTTGCTGTTCTTCCCCATTTTTTTTCCCCACAAGAAGTCAAGTATGTGAGCCATGAATTAATGAGATTTAATTTGTAAAAACATTCTACATACGAGTCCTGTTCAAAGTTTCATCCTTGCTTATTGCAGCGAAATTTATGGACAAAACAGTTGCAGTGAGTGAGGATTAATTACAAATTCCTTCAGGGCTCCCGTTTGGTACTGAAATTATTAGGATAACCCACTAATTTAAGCCTCTTTTCGTTCCAGATGGTTTGGTCAAGAGCAACAGTACAATATCTTGGTAATGGACCTTTTAGGACCCTCCCTAGAAGACCTCTTTAACTTCTGCAGTCGACGCTTCACCATGAAGACTGTCCTAATGCTAGCAGACCAGATGATTGGACGCATAGAGTTTATACACAACAAGAACTTCATCCACAGAGATATAAAGCCAGGTGTGAATGTAGGGAAATCATTAAAAAGAGAGATATGCTGTCAGGTTTGTAATGTGCTGCTTTCATTGGCATTTGTGTTGGGGGTGGCCTATGATTGTAGTTAGAAATTGGTAGTAAAATGTTAGAGTGGAGTGATTAGATATAATAAAACAAAAAATGACAAGGAAATACTGCCACAGTATTTATGGGTTGAGGGCATAATTTTTTGGACTCAAAAGAATTCATTATCAGATATGTTAAAACCAAAATTCACTCACTTATGGTTTTACTTGTCTGATGAGAATATCTTGATGAGTTTGAAATGATACATTCTTATCCCATTCACATTGGTGCATCTTTTTTTTTTTTTTTAATCCTTGTGAAAAAAGTAACTGTGATTGTGTTTGTGTCCATATGCATAAGTTTTTGATGCTAATGGGACATATATAATTTTTTTTACTTGAGTAGGAATTTGATTTTGCTAGCTTCACAAGCTCTATATGATCTCCTAATTTGAAAATAGGATCTGTTCACTTTCTAAAAGCATTTTATTAATGAGTGTTGTATACATCTTGCTATTACCATTATGATTACTGCGTATAAAAGATAGATAAGGACTTTATTTAGTGTAGGTGAACATTTTGAAAATTATTTATTTTTAAAAATGCCATGCATAATGTATACATTATGAAGGTCGAGGTCACATCTATTATATATGGTCATAGACTGAATCATTATAGAAGGCCATATGAATTTCCTGATTCTTTCATAAATCTATGATTTTTATTTTGTATTTATTCATGCCTTGGTGATAATAACAAAATTGCCCTTGTCTTTGTTCAAGATAACTTATTGCTAGTAACTGTGATTATTATGTAATAATTTCTCCTTCATTTCCTATTTTGCTTATGTCGTCATAAATTAGTGAATTCTTGATTGAAGATACAGTGAGTAATTAGAGATAATTAAACCATTTGCTTCTCGTTCATTTTATGCTGGAAGGGTATGTGTGGGTAGAAATGGGTATTACATATTAGTTTTGAAAATAAGAGGGGTACAGTGCATTAGAATGTAAATGGAAGTCAGTATTATCCTTTATTATTGGAAGTAAAAAAAAGAAGAGGAGTATTTTGCATTAGTTTATATAAAAGAAAGGAATATTTTGTTGTAGGGTTGAAAGAGAAAAGGCTTTGTGCATCACTTTCTGAAGGAGAAAGTGGTATGTCTAAGGGAAATGAGGTGTTTTGCAAAAATAGGGAAGGAGATAATATACATTTATATGAAATGGAAATGAGGTATTTCACATTTATATTGAAAGGGAAAGAATGTTAGAATGGAAGTGAGTGGTGAATATTTGTTTTGGAAAGGTATTTAGCATAGCAAGCCTTTATCCTAATGCCAAGCTGCATTAGTTATTAGATTTACTAAATGGTAATGAAGCTTCATAGTAATGAAACTTTTTTAGCGTTTTTTAAATCTGTAGTTATGAATCATGCAGTTGTTTCAGATCTTACAGCCATTCTTTGCAAAGTGTTAGTTTAGACCTATTAGGTTTGGTGGTGCAATCTCAAAGGAGGTCTATAAGTAGTATTGTTCACAGTAAAATGTTGAAATACCAGTAGTAAAGTCACCCTTCAGTTTTTTGTTTTTACTTTTGAATGGTGTTGAAACTATTACTAAGGAAACATAGTACTCATTTTATTGAAGTTCATTGTATGTATAGTCAGTGTTCTTTGACTTGATACTTAAAGATACTCATAGGAATAGTTGATTGCTTGATAAAGATATTTTCTTTGTTCTCGTTTTTCTCACACACATGCTTACACTCGACATATTCTACATATACATATACATGCACTCTAATAAATGTACGTGAACCCTTCCAAAAAATATTCCCTTTTTGAATTTACTAATCCATTGTGTAGATTTCATATTGATATTTAGTTGGTAAGAAGAGTAAGTTATTTGCATAACATTTCTGGGCTTCCATTCTTTTAAGTTGTTGGTTTCTTTACAAGTTTGTGAACTAAGATTTTCTATAATTTTGAATCCTGTTTAATCTCTTCTCTTTCCACCTCCCCCTGCCACCACATACAGACAACTTCCTAATGGGCATTGGCCGCCACTGCAACAAATTATTCCTGATTGATTTTGGACTGGCCAAGAAGTACAGGGACAACCGTTCCCGAGCCCACATACCCTACCGGGAGGACAAGAACCTGACTGGAACTGCTCGTTACGCTTCAATCAATGCACATTTGGGGATTGAGCAGAGGTAAGTGCCGTCACAAAGAGTTTTCCTTGAGGTTAGCAGTTAGGCTTAGTCTGAGACATGTTTTTCAATTTGTTGATATATGTGAGTATGAAAAATCTTGCCCTTGATTCCATTAACTCCTGAATATGGGTCAAAGGGATTGATGTCAATAGAGAGTAACTAGGAGAGAGAGAGAGAAGGAAAAAAAAAGGCCTGGGCTGGAGCACAAGTTGGTCGTGAATGAAAACAGAAAATTACTATCTGTTGTAATATGAAAGTTGTTTTAAAACCAACATGAAAAAATAAGGTTTACAATACTCGTGTGCAGCCAGACTAGTGCTCTTGCATTGTAATGACTCAACAAAATTTGAACTTCACTTAGGAGAGCATATTCTCATTGACACTCGAAAAGATATGTCAAAATCTCTCTCAGAATAGACCAGTTCCCAGACTAAAAGCACTTCTGATCCATATTTGGAAAAGGAATAGATTGTTCTGGCATGTATTCATGCACAGGAATTAGCATGATTTTTTTTACTATTATTATTATTTTTCATTCTTGTTTGTGAAGAGTATTGAGATTCAATAAACTCCTTGGGGATTTAGGGAAGAATTGATTCCAGTCCTGTATTTTTGAACCTTAATTGTAATGATGTCTGTTTTTATATAAAGTACATAAATATGTTTCATAGCGCCTTAGGAGGAAACCCAGAATCTCTTGTTTTCAATTTTTTCATATTGATTTGGTATTGTGTACTGCTCATATTTTATCTATTGTTATCATTAAAGTTGCTATGTACTGCACAATTAGTGTCCTTGGCCACTACAGCATCCTTTTTTACTTTTCAGTCGGCGTGATGACATGGAATCTTTGGGATATGTGCTGATGTATTTTAATCGTGGGTCTCTGCCCTGGCAAGGCCTTAAAGCTGCCACCAAGAAACAGAAATATGAGAAAATCAGTGAGAAGAAGATGTCCACTCCTGTTGAATCTCTTTGCAAGGTGAGTAGAGGAGGGAAGGGGAAAAAAATAGTAGTGGAAGGGGAAAAGGTGGAAATAATACTCTGTTTATTACTTTCCCATTATTTGAATCTTTCATGAGTGTTTATCATCACCATCACTGCTGTGGTCATTGTCTCCTTCAACATTACCATCACCACTTTTAGTGATGATGATAGTGTTAGTATCAGTGTTACATACATAGCCTTTCTTAATCACTCATTCACCCTATAAGTCTGGAGCCATTTATAAGTTCATCATTTTTGGGTGTTTTACCATTTTAGGCATATATTATCTTTCTCATTGGTGTAATTGATTGAAATTGTGATAAAAGGTCAGTAGGAGTGAACTCATGAGCATTACATTCAATATGATGGAAATGTGTAAGTAGGACAAAAAGTGTTTTTTTTTTTTTCATATTTGCTTATGTGAAAGTGAATGAATATGAAAAAAATAACCATCACCAATGAAAATGTGTATTAACACCTGTTGTCTGGACCAAAACTTAGTGCTGACACTCCTTGACAGTCATTTAATAGGAAATACATTCATTAAGACTAGGCAGACAGGATTCCAGAAAATGAAGAAAATAACTGTTTATCATAATCATAACTTATATATTATCATCACTGTTAGTATATATTATTCTGCATTTGAAACCATCTCTCACCCAACTTAAACCCACCATTCCTAACAGGGATTCCCAGCGGAGTTTGCTATGTACCTAAACTACTGCCGAGGGCTGCGGTTTGATGAGGCCCCTGACTACATGTACCTACGTCAGCTGTTCCGCATCCTGTTCCGCACACTCCACCACCAGTACGACTACACCTTTGACTGGACCATGCTTAAGCAGAAGGCTGCTTCAACTGCTGCTGCTGTATCGGGAACCACCCCCCAGCCTGCTGCGACCCAAGGTACACAAAAACAGCTCTGAGGTCTAGGATGAAGGTGGTGATAAAGAGAAACAGAAGGTTTGTGAACACTTAATTTTTTTATCCCAAGGATGATTTTCGTTAAATTGACGTCATCTTGGTTTTGTTGTTTTGTTTTCTTGCTGACTACTTTTTGTTAGTTTGTTTGATATCTATGCTCTTTATTTATCACTCATTCGCTTACTCCCTTTTTGTTGTTCTATACTAATTACTTGTTATATGACGTAGAAATTGTGTTTGCTCGTCTTGATAAGTGTTTGATACTAATTGCTTGGTTGTAGAATTTTAGCAGTCCTTCCATGTAGTCATTTGTGTTCTTCGTATGGTCTTGAATATACATCAGTATTAGAGTATTAGATTTCCTCTGGTGATATCAAAAAAAAAGAAAAAGAAAAAAAGAAAAAGAAAGATTCTCTTTGATTTAGTTGGATTTTTGACTTCACTTCATGTCATGCATAGTTAAGTAGTTCTTCATGTTTTGCTATGGTAGTTGGAATATTATGTAAAGATATAAGAAGGCAAAGTTGTATGATATATTAAATATGTTACTTTTGTCTTTAATGATTTGATATGGTTACAGTGTATTTGATTGTTTATAAGGAGAAAGTAATTGTTATTCCTGACTTATATAAGCACGTGTCCTTATAGTATTTGATTAATCATTTCAGTAGTTGATGAAATTTCCTTTATCCCCAGTAGTATTGATAAATACTTTGAAAAATGGATACTAGTAAATACCTTCATTGCTTATGAAATGTGTTATAATGGTTCTCAAACAAAAATTTGGCTGTAACATTGAGTTTCTTTTTAATTATGCATGATTTGGTATTACTGTTGGTTATGAAGTCATATTTAATTGTATTTTCTTGTTGGATACTTCATGGTTTCAGTTTTACTCTTCCATCATTATCTATTATCTTGTTTCCTTCCCTGCTTGTCCCTCTTTCTGTCTCCTCTTTCCGACATTACTCATTTGTATCTCTCTTATCCACTACTTTTCTTATATTTCTCCTGTTTCTCCTCTCTATCTCTTGCGTGTGTATTCTATGCATGGGTATTGTACCTTTTCTCTCAACCTCTTGCTTACATTTGCTGTCATTTTCATTTCCTGTGCAAATTCCAAGAGGAGGCTTGAAGCATGTGTTCAAGTAGCTTGTCTTTCATTTCATTTTTTTTTTCTATTAACTTGTCAATGCAAGTAATTTAAATGATGTTTCCTGGATTATCATTTGTGATTGGATTTAGTTTGACTTCAAAAGGGCTCATAACAGTTTTCATTGTTATGTTTTTTGTTTGGGGGAAAGTAGTTTGTTTTTTGTGATAACGGAGTCGAAAGCAGTTATATAGAATAATGTTGAGCTGTGATAGAACGAGTTTGGAGAAACGTCTTTCAGATGGTTAAGATCTGATTACTTTAACAAGATTTTCCATTAGTTATTATGGTGGTAATCCTAAGGTAATAAGGAACATACCTAGGAAGCACATATCATTTATCCGTAGCAAATAATGGCTATATTGCGCCGATGGTAATAGTTTGATGCATGGTTTGCAGATGGGCAGGATGAAAAGAGAAAAATATTTTGAATTTTGAGAGGATTTGATTTTGTTTTCTATTGTTTAAAAAGGATGTTACATTGCATTGAATATATCACAATCTGTAACATGATTAAGGGAAATCTGAAAGGAATTAGAATGAACCCAGTGCCTCCAGCACAGCTAAAACGGCCAACAGGCCTCTACTATAAGGTGCACAATAACATTGTGTCTTGTACTTGTTAGTTATTTCCATATTGATCTTTAGTATGATGTGAGGTCTCTCATGCATGTGGTTTATAATTTGCAGATTTGGATTATCAGAAAATGTTGGTTTGTGCTATGTTGCTAAGGTATTCTCTGTTTCTTTGTGAAGGTCATTCTTGGGGTCTATTAGAGAGACATTGTTGTGTAGGTCTGTATTCTTGAGAAGTCTGTGGTGCCTCTCATTTACTACTATACTGGTGCCTCTCATTTACTACTATACTATAAAATGTATGAGTTTAGGTATTCTTTGATTAGTAAGTTGGGTGCATTCTCTCTCAAGTGTTTTTGGTCTTCCCTTCAGTTTTAACCATACCCCCCCACACACTCACTCACTCACTCACTCACTCACTCTCACTCTTATTCTTACTCTTTTTCTCACTCTCACTCACTCACTCACTCACTCACTCACTCACTCACTCACTCACACTCTCACTTACTCACTCACTCACTTCACTCACTCACACTCACTCACACTCACTCACTCACTCACTCACTCACACTCACTCACTCACTCACTCACACACACACACACACACACACACACACACACACACACACACACACACACACACACACCACTCACACTCACTCACTCACTCACTCACTCTCACTCTCACTCTCACTCTCTCTCTCTCTCTCTCCTCTCTCTCTCTCTCTCTCTCTCTCTCTCTCTCTCTCTCCTCTCTCTCTCTCTCTCTCTCTCTCTCTCTCTCTCTCTCTCTCTCTCTCTCTCTCTCTCTCTCTCTCTCTCTCTCTCTCTCTCTCTCTCTCTCTCTCTCTCTCTCTCTCACTCTCTCTCTTCTCTCTCTCTCTCTCTCTCTCTCTCTCTCTCTCTCTCTCTCTCTCTCTCTCTCTCTCTCTCTCTCTCTCTCTCTCTCTCTCTCTCTCTCTCTCTCTCTCTCTCTCTCTCTTCTCTCTCCTCTCCCCTCCTTCTCCTCCCCTCCCCTCCCCTCCCTCCCTCCCTCTCTTCTTTTTTCTCCTCCTCCTTCTCCCTCTCCCCTCCTCCCCCTCCTCCCCCTCCCCCTCCCCTCCTCCCTCCCCCTCCCCTCTCTCACTCTCTCTTTTTTCTCTGAGCCACTAGTGCACAAACCACTTGAAAGGTGATTAGACTCATTTGGGGTTTATAACGGGGCTTTTGCATTATTTCCATTGGTAAACAAGTCTGGAATGTAATGCCTGTGAGCCATGACTGGAAGAGTGTTGGCTCTAGGGTGGATGCTATTTCCATGCTCAGCATCCTATTCTTGGCTGCCTTGACATGCAGTGCAAGTTGTTTTTATAGAAAGTTTAGTATTACATAAAAATAAAGATAGGCAAATAACAAACAGTTGCATATATATATATATATATATATATATATATATATATATATATATTATATATATATATATATATATATATATATATATATATATATAATATATATATATAATATATATATATATATATATATATATATATATATATATATATATATAATATATATATATATATATATATATATATATATATATATATAAATATATATATATATATATATATATTAATATATATATATATATATATATATAATATATATATATATATATATATATATATATATATATATATATATATATATATATATATATATATATATATATATATATATTATATATATATATATATATAATATATATATATATATATATATATATATATATATATATATAATATATAAATATATATATATGTATATATAATTTTTTTTGATGGAGTTATTTAATACATAGGGAGATGATATGAGTCTGTGCAAGGAAAACAATCTATTACCATCTGGTTAAAGCAATTCAAAAGACAAATAAGCACATTGGAAAATTGCAATAAAGCTAAAAATGCTCATACAAAATAACATGGCAAAGGGGAGGCATAGTCTTGTAACTTCGTGTGCGCCCAGCCAACATGCCGCACACCCAGTGAAGCAGCAGCTTATGGAAGCCTATTGCTCGTATTTTCATCCACATGATTGGAATGAATCAACCGATTTCAAAGGGTTAATATTTGGAAATATCAATAGGGGAGAAACTTGGTTATAATCATAATTTTAGGAAACATTATTTTGTCTCGTGTTTAGCTCTATGACTGCCTTCATTTTAAAATTATGTTATGATGTTGGGAAGAAAGAGGATTCATTAATAATTACTAGCATTTAAAAAAATATGGTTATCTTTTATGGATATAGTTATTTCTGAATAGTATCTCTAATTATGAATAATGATAAGTTTTAAAATGTGTAAAACCAGTTTTAGAGTTAAAGAAAGTGCCTTTGAAATTCATGCTACTGTGCCACATATTTCTTAATTTAACTCGTGCAGATTCGGACATTGTGAAAGTAGAGATTAACCTTTAAACCTCACGTCTCATGTATTTTCTCTTTCCACAATTCCAGGAGGCCACTAGAGGAATCCTAGTGAAGATAGATAGCTACTGAAATCTTGCTGAGACAAGAAAAAGATAAGGATTAAAATCATCAAAAACACTTCAACAAGAAGAACAACTTTAAAAAACTACAAAAAAAAAAATAAAAAATAAAAGCACCAAAAAAAAAAAAAAAAAAAAAAAAAAAGAGAGCCCAAGCTCAAGGTGTTCCCCTTTCTTTATGTTTAAAAGAAGACAAAGAAAACGGGAGGACATCCGCTTGATGAGAACAGTGGGCCCAGAGACAGCAGCGTGCAGCAGTGTGTGACGTGTGACGAGGCGAATTTTCTTGTCTTTGTCTCATCTCGTCTTTGTTTTGTCTTTGAGAAAGAGAGAGGGTGCAACTGACTGGGCCGGTTTAATGCGGTCTCCCCTCCCCCTATGCTGCCTGTTGTTGGGGTTTCGCCCACTGGCCTCGCTTGTTTTTGCCACTAATGCTGCTGATAATAATAGCCTTTTCTTTTTTTTTTTTTTTTTTTTTTTTTTTTTTTTCATTTTATTACCCGAGAGGCGTTTGTGTACTCTTTCTCTAATATTGGTTAGGAAATCCTGTATTGTTGTCATAGTTTTTTTTCTTTTCTTTTCTTTTATTACGGTTTTATTTTCTCTTGGTGAATTTGTGATTATACATTGTGTATGATTATATCGTGGTTCCACATTAGCGTGGATTTTTTTTTTGTTTATTATTATTATTCTTTTTTACCATTGTATTTGTTCTTTCTATGTGAATTTTTTCTGTAATCTTCCACGTGCTAATTCAGAAGGTTATTGAAAACCTGTGGAAGTGTTGTATTGTTCTTGCGTCTTTTTTTATTTTTTTAACGATGACTTTCTTATTTTTATTAGTGCTTTTATGGCACAAAAATAAAGCAAGCTGAAGTTATATATGTATAAGAGAAATTTAAAGAATAGATAAATACAATACAAAAATGTTTTTTGGATATGAATGGGTCTTATAGTTGTAATAGTGTTTTTTCTCCACATGACCAAAAGCTCATGGTGAATTCATTCATTTATATTTAGCCATATCATATACATAACTGTCTAGAAGAAATGCCACTACACAGCTACTGAGTTAAAGTCGTTTGGTGGAGTAACTTTCGTCTGTAAACCAACCCCTGCCCGACCTGTTTAGAAATTAAAGAAAGGATAATATGTGAATACAGTTCCCAGAATAATACAAAAAAAGGAAGAAAAAAAATTATTTAATGATGGATATATCTACATAGGAAAGTGTTTATTTTGGTAGTGCTGTTTTTTTTTTTCTCTTTTTTTTTCTTTTTTGCTAATTTTATTTGATAAGAAGGGACCTTCTTTGTATGTAGAGAAATAAAAAAAGAATATTGCACTTCTTATTTGAAAGGAAGATAATGATAATGTCTTAGGTATATATCTATCTATATATATATATATGTAGTGCGCGCGAGAGAGAGAGATTGAAATGAAGAGAGCAGAGGCGGGAATCATTATGACGTGATAGTTCGTAACCCGCGGAAATAGACAAAGAAGAATGCCCCACATCACCCCCCACCCCACACCCCCTCTCGGGAGTTTTTTTTTTCTGTGAATCTGCATCTTTTATGCAGGGATACTTTCCTTTTTTTATTTTATGGAAATCAGAAGTATGTCTCTTGATTTTGATGTGACTATGACCATATTAGTTTGGATTTGTAATGAAGACGTTGTCTGTTTAACTGTGTATTGTATAAGATGTTTTGTAATTAAGAACTGTTGCTCCTAATTTTTTTCTTTTCTTTATTATTATTGCTAGTATTATTATTATTTTATTTTTTATTATTATTATTATTATTTTTTTTTTTTTTGCTTTGTATTTTCTTAATTAAATATTGTTCTTGAGGTTTCTTTTTTTTTATATATACATTTTTTTTTGGTAGAAATTGTAAGTAAGAAAGAATGAAGAAGAATGGTACCACATAATCCCATTACAAACTCCCTGTATAACCTCTGCTTATATTGTTGAAAAAAATGAGTGTAACTGAGTGTACTTGTTGAACATGTGTCAGACAGGCAGGCGTGTTAATGAATTGTTTTGTAGAAAGAATAAGTAAGTCTTTTCTTCTCTCTTTTTTTTTCTCTTCTTCCTCTGATATGATGGCAGGGCAAAAAAAGAAAGAAAGAAAAAGATGAATAAACACTTTTTTTTTTTATATACTTCTTTAGGCCTAGGAGTTGAGTGTGCTCCATATTTGAAAGATTACCCGTTTATTCTTTCTTCGTCCAGTTATTATTTTATTCCATCCCTCCCTCCCTCTCCTTCTGTCCATGTGATATATATATGACTTTCTCCTTTTTTTTTTTTTTTTTTTTTTTTTTTTTTTTTTTAATGATATTTTTGTGTGTTTGTACTGTGCTAGAATTCTATTGGTTGGGACAGCATACATTTAGCCATTTCTTACTCCAAGATGTGCTTTTTTCACGTGGTTCGACTGGTGTTTAACCCATGACATGTTTCTTTTATTATCTTGCCACTATGAATGTATAGTTTGCCTGTCGTTATTTCTTTTCTTTTTTTTTATATATATAACTAAAAGATTTTTCTGTCTCCTCAATATGAGAAAATAGGCAGGTCTGATAGCAGATAATGACCCTCCTTCCCCTCCTTTAAAAGTAAATATAAAAATACAAAAACAAAATGCCGACCCCCCTTCCCTCTCCCTTCATCGTCATCATCATCATCTGTTTTACATCTCTGTTTCCTCGCTTGCATGGGTTGGATGACAAGTTCTTGTTGGCCGAGTGAACTTTATCCATGGTTTTCTGTTCTTCAATAATTGAGAATCCACTTCTGCAGTTCTTGGATTGGAGAGTGTAACTTCGTATTTTCTGATACTCTCCTACTCTTATTTGACCCTCCCTCCTTCAAATGAAAAGTAATGATTATTTAGAAAATATAGCATGTATACAACATTTACTACAAGATAAAAAGTTGTATATTCCCACAAAAAAAAAACAAAAAACAACAAAAAAAAAATATGCAGACCTCACAGTAACTATTGCCTAGGATTTCTTCACTGAACTGGTTCCCCTTCTCTCCGAGGGCTTTGGGGCACTCCCTTTTCAAAAAGTCGCCACTAGCTTGCTTGAGGTCATGTGCTTGTTCACCTGCCTTGGCGGCATCTTGAAATTGGTTGATTGGTTTCGATGATCGACAATTGTCATTTATTTATCATTATTATTGTTGTGTATTAATCATCACCAATATTATTGATTATGGTTTATATTTTAACAATTACCAATGCTGTAAGTGTATCTTTTTATTATATATTTTTGTATTTTATTCTACCATTATTTTGAGATGAAAATCCATTGCCTCGTGGGACCATTTACTATCCTGTAGCAAAGAACTAGTGACATCTGTTTTGTCCATACTTGCACCCCCCCCCCCCATCCCCTATATAACCCAAAATCAAATCTATATTATTCAGTGGGGTCACTTTGAGCTGAATTTGTAAAAGGTTTGTTAGAACAGAAGACAAATTTATTTTTCTTTTTTGCAATACTGCAAAACATTTTAATTGTGTGGATATGATGGTTCTTAAGGATACCTCTTACCCTTGTCATTCATTCAATGTTTTTTTTTTTTTTTTTTATAATTATTTTTTAATTCAAGAAGAGGTGGTTCTTCATTACTGTGTTGTTGTTAGTGTTGTTATTATTATTATGAATTAACCATCGTTCTTTGATTTATGGTAATCTTTTATTTAACTATTTATTTTCCAATGCCATAATCATCATCATCAGTACTGTTGATATTGTAGACATCAGCTAATGGTCATTTACGATGCTTCTCAGTACTCGGTACATTTCTTGAAGTGCATTTGAGGTGGTGATGACTAGTGGTTTAAGACTTTTTTTTTCCATTTTTAAATGGACTTCACAGAAAATGTACTAAAAGAATACACCTCTATGTTCAGATCTAAAAAAAAAAAGTCTCCTTAAGAAAATCTTGCTGTATTGTTTTGATTTTTCAGGAGATATAATTATAAAACAAGGAAACCACAAAAAAAAATAATAATAATGTAGAGTTTGTGTACATGACTTGCCTGTAAGAACCATAGACACCATTTTCAACACCTGTGAACCTTTGTAATGTCTAAGACAATATTTGTCCCTCTTTTTTTCTCTGTTATTTGTAACCATAACAAAGAAAATGTAAAAAAAAAAAAAAAAAAAAAAAAAAAAATCAGGCATTGTTTTTTTTCTCAATGTAATTGTAACTGATATAGAAATATTTGAATACATTTAAGAAGGTGACGTGTCAGAATTATTTTGTAAGTGTTGGCAGTTGAAAATTTGGATCACTTTTAGGAACAAATTGAGTAGGTGTGAATGAAAGGATGATCGTAATATTGTGAAGGATTTTCATTTATTATTATTGTCAAAGAGTTTAAGTCGAGATTTAATCTTTCATGTAAGTGTTTGTGTGTGCATGTTTGTTTATGCCAAACAGAATTATACATACATACATACATACATATATACATGCATACATGCATATATGCATATATGCATACGTACATACATACATGCTGTAAGTTGTGTATGATTTAAAAAGATTAAAGTACACACTTACATATGCACACATACATGCACACACAAATGCGTACTCTGTCATAAACGTAAATAAATACATACACAGATTTATATAGAAATTTATACTTGCATATATTCATATACATCACGCTTATATCCAGAGCGTAGACACAGACATAAAGATAGAGTATAAGAGAGGTGTAGGAGGAAAGAGTTTGTTTGTGTGTGTAATTGTTTGTTTGTGATGCATACCATTCAAAATCATTTTAAGGTCAAATGAGTTGGCAAAGATTTTTTAAAGATTTGCCTGCACAAGTGATAAGAAAGTATCTGGTTTCTTCAAAGCTCCGAGTGTTGCCAGATGCTTCCCCTGCCACAGAGAAATACTATGGGGTGACCCAAAGTAATTACCCCCCCTCTCCCCCCTCTTTTTTTTCTTTTATTCACTAAAATCATTACTCATTCTTTTTTCAGTCACGTGAAGCTGTAGAGCATTGCATAGAAGTGTAGTCTAATAAAAACTGAAAATTATTGTTGGGTTTGAATATCATCAAAGAAGTGAACCAAGAACCAGGAAATTTTGTTATTGAGTTGATTTACATTTCAATAATTGTATTCTATTTCTGCAGTTTTAAATGGTTTAAATGAATTCATATGGTGAATAAATGTAAATTCAGTTATGTTGAAAACATTGTTATAAATCAGGTTATATCCATAAAAAAAAAACAAATTGAATCATTGGCTTGAAGATAGTGAACTTCAGTTCAATAACATAGGGAAGATAGCAGTATTTTCTTAAATTTGTTTATATCCTTTGGAAATAAACCAATTGAAACAGGATTGGTGGTGAAAAAGCCTCAATGTCATCCAATACAACATGCACTGTGTTCTATGTCTGTCATGGTAATGGTGCATTTATAACTCAAGGAATCTATATTAAAAAGATCCCAAGAATTTGTACCTCAATAGTCTACAAAAGCCATAGCTATTGGTGCATCTGAGAGATTTATCAGTATCTGCACCAAGTAATCATAAGCTTGGTTT